CATCCAGGGCTGGCCTGGAAGCTGTCAGTCCACCCAGTGTCTCCCTCTGAGCCAGCTGGCCAGATCTGCTTCTGGACTTGTCAGGACAAAGGGTGCTTTCCTCACCACTCATTCATATAATCCAGCTCCTTTTGGTTTTATGTTTGAGACCTCCCATTCAAATTCACGAAAGGGAGCTTTTGCAGCTATAATCCCATACCTATATTGGATACAATTACAGAAAGAAATTTCCTTTTTGCAATAACGACATATTATTTGAACATCTTCAGCTGCCTCTTTTCTTTAAGTGATGCTTGGTTATTGTAAAAGAATCACTCCTTTGCCTGTTAATGGGAAGGCTTGAACCTTGCCAGATAATCTCTGTCTTTTGTGCTTTATGCTTCTAGACTTTTTTAATTAAATAGCTTCCAGCCATTCTTCAAGTGCCTAACTGATTACATCTGGAAAGCTAAGACACAGCTGAAGATAAACATAAATCCTAATTTACTCCATGGTGCCAAAGGAACAGAGAATCCCTGTTCTGTCCGCTCCCTCCTCTCTCTCCCCTTTCCTCGAACAATGCCTCTCACTCACTGCCAGCGAGTCCATGCCCACTCATAGTGACCTTATAGGACAGGGTAGAACTGCCCCTGTGAGTTTCCAAGACTGTAACTCCTTAAGGGAATAGCAAGCCCATCTTTCTCCTCCAGAGAGGCTATTGGCTTCAAACTATGAACCTTGGGGATCGCAGCCCAATGGGTACTCCCTATGTCCCCAGGTTCCTAGAATAATGCCTAGTCGCACTAAACAAACAGTTTGCTGTTTAAAAAATCTAGACTGCTTAATGAGGGATATCCCATAACCCATGCTTACTTAAAAGATAATCACATATATACGTGGTTGCTTTGTTTTGTTTTTCAAATGAGTTCCAAACACACAAAGGTCCCTTTAAAGCCACGGATGCTCTTGTAGATAGCAAAGGCAAAAATGTTCGTTTATCATTCTAGAACTTCTGCCTTTAGAAGTCTGATGAGATGCAAAAGGAAGCCTTGGTCCCCAAAATAAAACCTGGCCCCTACTGGGCCTCAGATGTTCATAAAGAGGATTCATGGGAGTGAGGGTTAGTGCTTCATCTTCAGCCCCCAACTGCTAGAGAGTTCACATTCTACTTTCAGTGCTCTGTTTCTGACCTGCCTCCCTGTTTTATCTGGAATTTGGTATCACGGTATGAGCCTGGGGCCCATGTGAATATCCAATGCTCTGCAGACAATGAGAAGGCCAAGGTGCAAAATCCCGTTGTGCTCCCCCTAGTGCCTAGAGGCCGCCCTGCCTTTGACATTCCAGACCACAAGCCGTGAGCGAAGTCCCGCTCCTGGAAATTGAGTTTCGGTCACTTAGAGGCAAAAGCATCCTAACTGATAAAGGGAATTCTCTAAAATTAATTTTAAAAATGTTTTAAGTGCCCATTTGTCAGATTTTGTGATGATATTTTCTGAGATCACCCGGGAAAAGCAAGTCTTGGCCAAAGAAAAGTCAAAATAGCAAACCCAGACTCGTTTGGCTTAAATTCTAGAGGCGTGAAAACTGAGGGGCGCCTGCTCCGAGGCCATGTGTGTCTGTTTCATCAGAGAGCCGATGGAGCTGACATCATTCTCCGGGTCTGTCGCCCTTGTGACAGGCCCAAGCCTTCATTAGGAATGCACACTGCAGCCTGGTCTCATCTACCCTAGCAAAGAACAAAGGGAAGAAGAGAGACCCTCGGGGAGACACGCTCTGAGAAAGCGCAGGCCCCTCTGGAGGCAGAGAGATGAAAGTGACGGGGAGGGGGAACAGGCAGGGGACAAACAGCTCTGAGCTCGCTGCTCTTCAGTCAATTCTGACTGACAGTGACACACAGGACAGGG